GGAGGAGGAGGATCCTGACAGCTGGGGAAAGAGACCACGGAGCCACATGACGGTTTGGATTGGGGAGCAGAGGGCTGCAACCTGACAAAGCCACAGCTGGGTTAATTGGATGGGCGGCAGGCTGATCCCAAGCTGAGGGAGCCACAGCTGCAGCAGGTTAGTCTGGAGGCTCCATGTGAGGAACAGGAGCTGCTGCTGGTGGTCAGCAAAGATGATGGGGTGGAGTCCACACCTCCTCCCAATCCAATGATGTGCAGGGTGGAGTGGGGATAGGCACAATGCTGGTTGGCCAGGCTACTTGTGAGGAGGCAACCTTGCCCATTGTGAAGGGCCACACCAGCATTGCCTATTTAATCCTGACATGAGAGATGAGCATTGCTGGAAAAACATGTCCAGTTTGTTGCCATGCATTTCCATTCCGTGCAACTTGACCCATTGCTCATTTTAAATGTGTTGCCTTATATGTAGGAAGTGGTTTCCAAAGTCTGCAAAGAGCTAAGAGGAGGTTTGCAGTCTCCTGGCGGCCAGTTGATCAGGTCAGAAAGCTCTGAAAGCAGCCACCATTTCCCCAAGGAATTTTCAGAGCCCTAAAAATGGTGGCTGCTTCCTGGAAGCATGGGGAGGGGTCCTCTTGGGGCAGGAGAGGGAGTAAAGAGAGGGGAGAGGGCACTGCATTATCCCCATGATCTCTTGTAAAGATGAATGAGGAGTGCTGCAGCTGTCATAACTCTGAAACAGAGTTATATGTGATTTTGGGGTGTCTGTCGTTAATTTAGTTCTTAAAGTGATCTGTCGTATCTCAAGAAATACCAACATATGTTTCATTTATGTTCATTAAGTGGTCTTGAGGACTACCTGCATATGTTTTGTTTATGTATAAAACAAAACTCAACAAGTAGCCATTATTGCCCTAAACTAGTTGTTGACTATGAATAAACCAGGCACGTCTCTAAAGTGCTATTCAGAAAGAAAATAATTGTTATTGTATGTGTTCCTTCTGTGATCATGTATTTTTCAAAAAGCATAATCAGAACAACATGTTTTTTTTCTCTTTCAAAATATGTTTTGATGTTCCTAATGGGGTACATTCATCAAATTTATATGACTGGTCATGTCATGAAAAAGTGACTCTGTGTGGTACACATCAAAACTATAAAACAGTTAACATAAAATATCATATCATAATACAATTCCTATCCAGAAAGACCATTTGTTTTATTAAGTCCATCTTATAATAAAAATTCTGCTGGCCGCTGCCATCTGTCTGATGATGAAATAATAATGAAAACAAAGTAGCATAAAGCAAAGAAAAACAAAGCTATCTTGTATTTTAAATATTTTACAATTTTTAAAAATTGTTTTAAATTAAATGTTGCTTTCAGTAAGCAAAATAAAAGAGTTATGTCCAAGATAGATTCAAAATGTCAAGATAGAAAATGAAATCAACAAATAAGTCTTAGGACGTTTTTGCTGCCATAAAATAGAAGCAAGAAATAAATCTGATGAAATACTACTTCTTTCTACCTCACAGTTTCTAGAAAACAAGGTTCAGAAAGTCTTCATAGGTTTTAAAGAAGCAGCATTGTCCCATTATTCATTCACCTGTCATGGTGATTCACAGTGAACATCCACATAAAGGGATAATTTTCCAAAGAAATAATTGCAGGAGAAAACAATGAGTTAGTTCTGCTTTCATCCCCATAGCAGAGAAACTTCAACTGCCTTGTATTGTCCCTACTAGGGAAACAGAAATAATCTAATTAGTTTTCCAGCTAACTTGATTTTGCCAATCTCAGTAATCCGCTTTGTAGCGCTAAGACAGGAGTGCTATGGGCTCTATTAGGCTGTCTATTTCTATTCCTATTCCATATAAATTATATATAATTTATATATCCTATAGGCCATATCAACATACAGGTTCAATAAAATCCAAACAATTTAAAATGAGAATAGGGTAAAATACAATAGTTATAAGATAAATAAATGTATCACCTCTGCAATCTATTCCAATCAAGCCCTCATATGCCTAACTCAGACGGACTATTTTAGTCAGAAATTGTGCTGTATTAAATGTTGTTTTCAGATTCTGGCCACACATGAGGTATGTTGTTTTAATATGGGCCATACATTTAATATGTGGATCAAGGTACTTATACAAATAGCAATTAAATAATATATGAATCAGATCTTCTACCTCTTCAGCTCCACAGATACATGTACATTGATTAATGGAATCTTCCTCTATTCCTATTCAAATAATTGAACACAAGACAATTCAAAACTAATGAAATCATTTATAAAAGTAATCGATCTACCAATTTTGGCATATTAAAACAACAACAAAGCAAAAACAAAAGAGATTTGTTATTTTCATTTCACAAGATACTGATTTCCTTTCTGGTCCCAAATTTATGCATTTCTAAAGATGTTAATTTCCATTTTTTATATAAAATTCCATGTTAGATATTAAAATTTTGTCTGTTTCTCACTGCATAGTCAGAAAATAAGGGTAGGGAGAGAGACCAACGAAACAAGACTTTTTTTTTTTTTCAAATTGTGAAAATAAATAAGATTAATTGCAAAATAAATGAGGAAAGTCGAACAAAGGGGGATATTTGGACATTTTAGAAAGCCCAAGGAAGGACAGAATAATAATCAAAACAGATGATACATTGAAGTTAAAGAAGACAAGCTAATGTATTTGTTCAACCTTCCTTTGTGAACAGAATATACAATAATGTAATTAAATTTCATACATACCCTATTCTGCCTGTCGATACCCTTTCAGCAAAATATTACAAATCTGCTGTCTTTGCTAAATAAATAATTTTGAACGCAGCTTTAGTTTAGATCTTAACCCTTTCTCCATGATTTAAAAATAGAGGTATTTTAATTATTGTTATCTAACTATATGCACACATTTCCAAAATCTCATTAATTTAAGATGTACTGGATCAACATTATTACATGTCACTATGGAACAATTTAGGATTTGCTATCTTGGCTGGGACTGTACATTTCCTAACTTTGTAACCTTATGCTCTGAGTTCCGTGAGATAAAAATGTACTTAAATAATAAATTATTTTCAAACATTTCCAAAATTCAAAATTTTGTTCCTTATGAGAATATAACCCTGAGAATAAAATACATCCCTGAGACACGTATACACATGCAAACAATAACAATAGCACTTGTTAGTGGAAGGTCATATCTACCAGTTCCACCAGGATATACATATGGAGAATCTATATAAAGTATAGATTAAAATGGGTAGTATAAGGTGGTCCATGACTTACAACCACAACTGAACCCAAACTTTCTGTTGCTAAGCAAGGCAGTATTTAAGTGAGTTTTCCCCCCTTTTACAACCTTTCTTGCCACGGTCGTAAGTCAATCACTTCAATTGTTAAGTTAGTAACATAACTGTTAAGTGAATCTGGCTTCCCCATTGACCAGAAGATGATCACATGACCCCAGGATACAACAACCATCATAAATACATGCCCGTTGCTAAGCACCCTAAATTTCATCATGTGACCAAGGGGATGCTGCAACAGTCATATGTGTGAAAACAGTCGTAAGTCCCTTTTTCAGTGGCGTTGTAACTTCACTAGTCACTAAGTGAATGGTTATAAGTCAAGGACTGGCTATATGGTTGTTTCCATAAATAGCCCCCCCCTTCTCCCTATGGATGCTCTCATGTAACATGAAAAGAATAACAATTCTGTTTTAGTCTTTAAAATATTTTAAAGAAGTACAAATGTAATTTTCTAGAGACCCATTTAAAAAACAATCTTAAAAACGATTATATTATTAGAAAAAAAAACTTTTTCTCTTTCTTCTCTTTATTAAACACATTTAATCTACTGAATCTAAGAGAATTAATAGAGCATTCTTTCAACTCATCAATTAAAATTGTATCATTAGAGCAAAAATAGTAATTATATTCTCGGGGGGGGGGGGGGGGAACCAGCATCCTTAATTTACAGGCTAATTCTTTTAAAGTGTTTTTCAGAAGAGCTTAGCAAATTATATACAATGAGTGAATTCACCTTGGGTTCCCCCAGGCGTCACCCCAAAGTCAGAAACGATTTAGACTGTAAAGAGTTCTACAACTACCTTTGTGTAAATTGTTTCTGATCACTGTTGCTATAGCTACAACACCAGTCTAGCACCAATAGCACTACATCACGAAGAACTTTAATCAAAAGTTAGCCAAGGCATGTCTTTTCTCGGCAGTGAATGAATGAGGATATTTTAATTATACCTCATGATGAAGACGCTGTGCTTAAATGAAAAATCTTCACAGAAGAAAGTTACAGTCCAATTGAAATATTATTTATCCTTTCAAAAGAAAACTAGTTCTTTTGCGCTTGAAGTTCTTGAGTCAAGGCTCAAATTCCAATTCCACTTACTCAATATCCTGTTCCATACATATAGATAGTCTTCAGCTTACAGCGGCATTGAAAAAATTACTTATGACCCTTGCAGCATCCCCACAGTCATGTGATCAAAATGTAGGTGCTTGGCAACTGGCATGTAGTTATGATGGTTGTACCATCCTGGAGTCATGTGATCACCATCTGTAAGCTTCCCAGCTGACTTCCATCAAGCAAAGTCAATGGAAAAAGCCAGATTCGTTTAATGACTCCATGATTCACATAATAATTGTGGCAAAAAATTAGTAAAATGGAATTTTGGACACTTAACAAGTCAAAAATGGAAAATGGACACTTAACAAGTATCTTGCTTAGCAGTGGAAATTTTGGACTCAATTGTGGTCACAAGTCGAGAACTACCTGTATCTTACTGGATTTAAAATCATGCAAAAGGAATTACTATAAATAATTACCACTAATTAATTTTAATTCATTGCTTAAAACATTAATAACATTTCTATTTTCAATTAGCAGTTCCACTTACCCACATAAAAGAAAGAAAATAATACTTAAAACTAGCTTTAGGAAGGAACATCACGTAACTCCATGTGAATCCTTACCTCTTGGTTTTTCACATTAAGGTATCCATAGTGAGACCTTAGGTGTCGTTTTTGTGTATAGGAAAATGGCATCCACTGGACACTGGATTGTCCAAAGCAGCTCAGCATGAGAGGAAAGCTGACTTCATTTGTAAGGCGGGCAATGATGACGATTAGAAAAGCGGCTGTAAAGCCAATTATAACAATGGCCTTGCGCTGCAAATGGGATAAAAAAAAATTAACAAAAAAAATTCAATACGAGTTTACTTTTTAACCTAAGGGGGGGGGGGGAATCAACTAGGCCATCCTTGACTTACAACCACAACTGAGCCCAAAATTTCCGCTGCTTAGCAAGACAGTTGTTAAGTTGCCCCATTTACAACCTTCATTGCCACCATTATTAAGTGAATCCCTTGCAGTTGTTAAGTTGGTTAACATGGCTGTTAAGTAAATCTGGCTTCCCCATTGACTTTGCCCCTGAACACTGCAAGCATCATAAATACAAGCCAATTGCCAAGCATCCGAATTTTGATCATTATGACCATGAACATGTGGCAATGGTCATAAGTGTGAAAACACAGCCATAAGTCACTTTTTCAGTGCCATTGTTAACTTCAAATGGTCACTAAAAGAATGGTTTTAAGTCAAGGACTATCTGTAAATATAACTTCAGTGTTTAGCTGGCTGGGGAATTCTGGGAGTTGAGGTCCATGGGTCTTAAAAGTTGCCTAATGGATCTTTGGACTACTCACTGACAACTACTCATTATTTCCTCTAGGGAAGTGATAGAATACAGTTATTTATTTATTTGTTTGTTTGTTTATTTATTTAGTCAGTCAAAAGCTTACAATACAATAGAAATAAGAATAAGCATGAGTTTAAATATAACAAATAGGAACTAATAATTGGGGACAATAGGACAGGGAGAGTAGGCACGATTGTGCACTTATGCACGCCCCTTAGAAGACAATCTTAATTCCCTGTACAGGGAACATAGCAAGAAACTTATCTGATACATCAAGATAATAAGGGTAAGAACACTGAGGGCTGCAACGTGTTTGGCTTGGGAATAAGTGAGAAGTGAAAATTATGTTATCTATTTTCAAGTTTATATTTCTTAACATCTCCCTATTTAAATACCATGTGCAAGCTATTTAATCACTTTACAGCAGGGGTGGGCAAACTTTTTGGCTCTGGGGCCTCATTGACTTTTAAAATTTGACAGACGGGCCGCCACCTGGTGTCGAAATGCCTGTCATTACAAGTCAAAATCAAATGAATGCAATCATTCAATCATTCACATCAAACCTTAATTCTGTACCAATCTTCGGCGGGCCGGATTAAAAAGACCAACGGGCCGGATGTGGCCCGCGGGCCGTAGTTTGCCCACCCCTGCTTTACAGTGTCAGGCGCAAAGAATCAGGATCATCCATTAGGTTGAAGCACAGAAGATTAATTCAAATCTATATACAATAATCTAGTCAATTAAAATTCAACATTAAATTGGCGCCAGATAAAGGTCAGTGGAATTCAGGAGGGGTTGGACTAAGACCATTTGTGGGAACATAACAAATCTAAGCTGATGGCGCGCTTAACTCCATCCCACAGTCTGCCTGTTTTTCTCCTACATACAGAAAGTAGTTGAATGACTCTAAACTGGCAAGGAAAATAAATTAATGAGTTTGAACTGCATCTTGTGTTGTCATTATTGTTTTTTAAACATGACTTCTAGTGGCTATAACATTTTTTAAAATTTATTTTGTTTTAAATTTTGTTTTAAAGCCTAGAAACTTATTTAGCTGATGGGTCACTTTCTGAGAGAAAAATAGTGTAATCTGATATGAATGGAATGAACATTAAATTACTTATTCTCTCCCCTTTGCTTCCCAATGCCATTTTGGTGTAAACTCTCAATCATGACGCCGTCCCGTCTTTCCACATGATTAAGATGGTCATATTTTTTTTACCCTGATCTGAACATTCCCGTCATCACCTCAGAATTTATACAGAATTTATGCCAAAAAAAAGGAATCGATAAAATAGCTTGCTGATACCAAGAATATTTTTCTAAGGGTTATGATTATATTTTTAAAATTATGTTTATTTAAAAGTATTAAATAAAACCTTAATAGGAAGTCATAATAATTTTAATGTGCTCCGATCCTTTCATACACTTTACTATTCAAATATTAAAAAGAAAATTACATTCATAAGTCCTTTTTGCTGATGTTTACTAAGTGAAACATGCATTAATTTAGTATTGCTGTGACCAATATGTTTTATAGGATAACACTGAATGAACACAACCTCTTCACACTCCTAATATACCCAATCAATCTATGAATATTGCCATCCTTTTCTAGCAATTCTTAAAATTCAATCTCAATAATAAGATAACTCTGATCCTTGTCTTACTTGAAGCAATCAGAATCATTTGACCTAGTGTGTATATCAAAATCAATAAGCAGAAGACATGATGAATCACTCTTTTTAGAATTAAATTTATGAGTGCTGAAGACAAAGGACAGGGAAATTTCAAATTTGACCTATGCTTTTTCCAGTAGTACTTTGAATGAAAATGAACAAAAGTCTAATTCAATGAAATTTCAGGCATATGTGTGTGCGTTTGTATATATACATATGTACACATATATACACACTCTCAGTTAGTCAAGCTACAAAATCCCAAATTGTGCTGATCAGAAAAGGAATGCAGCCCTTTCCTTTTTCTTTCTCCCCTAAAGCAGCAAATTGAAACTATTGCCAATTTTCATATACATACTGTAAAGCTGTGTGTGTGGGCAGAATTTAATCAAGGTCAAATATCTATAATTATGTAGTATCTTTATCATGTCTTTGAGCCGTATGTTATTTTTCTTAAAGTAATAAAGAGTGTATGTCATTTTCAATAACCAAATGATTCTTCTATCATAAATGTTTCCATTATTCTATAACTAGATCTGCATACCACAGCTAGTAATGGAATATGCCACTGTATATTTTTCCTCCAATAAGCACCTGAGTTAACTTAATAGTACATACAAATATGCACATATGCATAAGAATCATATTATTTCCTTTTTGGATAAGCAATAATATGCAAATCATAAGAAAGGAGTAAGAATATTGAGTCAAACATTTAAAAGATACAAGATTGAATAAAAGTAAAGAAATCTGGTTTACATAAAAAACAGTAATAGTACCTCTCCATAGCTTACAACCCATCTTTTGAGGTTCTCTTCAATGCTATCAAACCATGCTCCTACTTCATATTTCCCTTCCTCTCCATCACTCACTCTTCCTTCCTGAATTTGTTTTGAGTTTTGATCTTTATTAGTTCCTCTGCAGCTCCTGCCCACCTAGCAGTTTGGAACCATGCAAATGCAAGTAGATTAATAAGTACCACTTCAGTGGGTAAGTAACCACATTCTGCGCATCTTTGGCATATAGCCATGCTGGCCACATGACCATGGAAAATATCTTCGGATAACTCTTGCTCCCTTGGCTAAGAAATGAAGATGAACACTGCGTCCTAGAGTCAGACACAACTGGACATGGAAATCTTTTGCCTTTTGATTACAATAACGGTTGATTAACAGAGGATTTGAAATTTTAACCTTGTCTTTTTATTATTATTCTTCCTGTTAAATATTTTGTCATTAATATAGTATATAGATTACAGGTAAATAATTTTCAAATAGATTTACTACTATGAAAATTTGCGGGGGAGGCTTATTCGCAAGGGTTGGGAACCAATATTGTAGTAATGTATTAATCAGTATCCAAATAGAGGAATAACAAGTGTATATGTTTTGGACTTTTTTTCTTTTCAATGCACTTTTTTATTGTCTTGATTATTTTGTGTTTTTGTGGATTTTTTTTTTTTAGTTTTGCATTTTAACTTCCTTATGAATAAAATGAAAAATACAGAAAGAAAAAAGTATTTTCATTCATTCTTTCTGCTTATCTGTTATATAGGGGAATATTAACAGCATTGTTCCATTCATCAAGTTTTCCCAGTCTCCAAACACATATTAAACAAGCTTCATAGATATTCCATAAAAAAAGCCACATCCATATTTCAACGCTTCTCAAATTATATTCCCTACACTTGTAACCATACCATCAGAATTTTTCGTCCTTCTGACATTTAGGACTTCCTTTCCATCTTTTAAAATTTATTTTTAATTCCATTATTTGACACATCACTACTATTCCCATACGGATCTCTAAAATACTGCTTTTAGCATTCTCTCATTTGAGTTTCATTCCAGATCAATCTTTGCTTTGATTGATTCTAATCTCTCTGCTATATAGGCTCTTCATTTAGTGCTTTTTCCCACCTCGTTTTTTTTTTCATTTCCATCAAAAATCACTCTGTATTTTCTTTATCTTCTTTAATCTTAACAGTTCTTTGCTTTCTTTTATATTCTTTATAAGTTCTTCTCTCTACATACATTGTGTAATATATTTTTCTTACTGTTTTTTGCAGCATCCTCCGATAAGCACTTTTTGTTAAACTAGAAACTCTTTCATGTCATTATGCCATCTTTTTATGCCACATCACTTTTGTGATATGAAAAGTATTTCACTCCATCCCAAATAGTCTTTTTCCCCCTTAAATCCACTTCTGTGGGGAGATTAATTTATATTCTAATACTCTTTCAAACAGAAGTCATAATTTCTGTTTTCCCCACTCATTTTCCCCGCATCTATTTTTCTTTAAGATCAATTCCTGACATTCAGTGTCAAGATGAACTGGGCGTTGGTTCTTACCTGATACGCCCCTTCTCGGCGAGCCGCAAGGAGCATCCAGAGACTGGGATGTGCTTCCGAGTCCTCTTCTTGCAGGCTGAGCTTTAGATGAGGAAACGCTCCGCCCCCTCACGTGACATCGCGGAGCGCCTCCCCAGTTTTTGCGATAACAAGAAGAGAGGTTATTGATTCTTTCTAATCTACTATTGGCTCCTTGGCTGAAGAAAGAGCCCCCACCAGACGGAGAAATTAGGGTGGGGCTGGATGCTCCTTGCGGCTCGCCGAGAAGGGGCGTATCAGGTAAGAACCAACGCCCATTCTCCCTCGAGCCGCTCGGAGCATCCAGAGACTGGGACATACCAAAGCTGGGCTGTCCTACGGGTGGGACTCCGTCTGGCCCGAAGGCCCCTCCGGATCACTGATGACCCTCTGTAAGACCCGTCGGCCAAAAGAGGCCTCCG